GTACAGTGCAAAAGTCTCAAGGCACCCAAATGTCTTTATATATATTTTTTTAGGAAAACAGATGCAGCAATTTACTGAAAGATGCAAAAACAAATGGGAATGCATCTTTTAAAAGAAAAACAGAGTTCAATTGTAACAAGCAGGACATGAAATGTTTGTTTGGACCGCTTTTATTCTTTAACACCTGAACTCTCTAAGGCAGCTTTCCTGAAACTTCTTTAAGGAGTCTAGAGGAATAGTTCTCCAGGCTTGTTGAAGGAGATTCAAAGTTCTTCTTTGGATGTTTCTTTCTTTTGTTCTGTTCTCTATCAAGATGATCGTGCACAACCTCAGCAATGTTAATATTCTGGGGAGGCCAATCCCTGACTGATAGTGGTCTGCTGTGAGTGACTTTGTGTTCAGAATTCCATGAATTCCATCAATATTCCCATAACAATATAAAATGTTCAAATTTGTCATTCTTCAGCTTTTTCTTCCTCTTTCCCTTCCTGAATAATAGCTTCTTGATAGCTACCCATCAACTGAAACCATCTCTGATGGGATGCAAAAGCACTGTGTCAGGTCATTGCCGGATTCTTTCCTATTTCTTAGGGACATGACTTGCAAATAGTGTTCATGTTCTGTAGATAGTCCTCTTCAGGCCTGCCACTTCTTCTTTTTTCCATCACTTGTACAGTTTCCTCACAATGTATGTATGTACTCACTCTATACTATGCAGAGATATGGCAAGTTTTCAGGTAAAAGCTCTTTGGGAATCACCTTGTTGGAGCAAAAATACTATTTTATGCCTGTCAAACTATTTATGGCATGTTTCATAGATTCCACTAATGAAATAGAAACAAATTACAGAAAGATAAAAAATAAACTTGGTTCTTTGCTACGTTGTTGGTTATATGTGGACACAACAGTGGCACGTCTCTTGATTCACAGGTCAGTGCTATATGGTTTTAGAAATATACATATATATTCTTTTAAACTTGGTCAGGTACAAGGACTCAACAGAAAAACAAAGAAAAAGAAAAAGAAAGAAAATCTTGCTCCTTGGAAGCAAAATATTAAAGAAATGAATGGTGGTTCAAGACTTTTGCACAGTACAGCAACTCCATAATGAATATTTTTTCTGTTGCTAAGTCAATACAACTTTAAGAACAGTAACAACTATATAAAATATCCAAGTCAGAGTTATATAATGCATTAAACTTTTATATCTGGCGTGATGGCACAAATAAAATACTTATTTGTCTGCAAACCGCTGCATAACAAATCAGTGGCTGCGTATGTGTTTGCTACTAGATATTCAAGCAGAATAATGCATATTCTTCCTGTTTAACTTTTTATGAGTGCAGACAATGCTCCATAGGCTTAGACAGATGACAGAGGTCTATATATTTAAACAACACATGTTTAATAAAGGTAGTGAATTCTCTTTTATGATATTTTACTAAGATCTCATATGCAACGTACTGTGCATCCAGATGTGAGACACATCAGCGAGTGTGTCATATTTATTGCAGTGACTGCCTGCAGTGAGTGTGCTCTGACTTATTCGCTCCTATGGGACACCTGACATCTCCTCTTTGATGCAAGCCTTTCAGTTCTTAAGTCTTCAACTGTATGGGCACTTTCACAATACGGAGACGGGGTATATCTGTCTGGGGGACCATCAGAGATGATTTGTTGATGATTTGATTTTCAGCCTAGGGAGCATATGGCTGCATAAATAAAAGCTTCCAAACAGACTCAGCATAGCGGCGACCTGATGATGGAGCTGTGGCATAATCTCTGAGATGGAAAGAGAAAATTATGACAAACTGCACTTCTGAGCCACTCTGCTAAACTCCTGTTCATATGTCTTCCACTTATGTGCGAACAGAGAAACGTAAAGTATGATCATTGCACCAATGCTTGTTTTGTTTGTCAGGCTTAAGCTAATTAATGCATGTTTTTATTCACCTGCCTCAGATTCCTGCATTTTCTCATTCAGGGCACTGGTATCTTCTGTTATGTCACAGATAAAAGTCTGATCAAACACCATCCTTAATCCTCAAGCTTAGTAACGGCAATCGATTTAAAAGTATAAAAGTCAATTTCCTCAGGCGCTGTGCCGCATCGCTGCCGCTCTTATAGTGAAATGGCTTTTCTTTACAAATTCGAACATTGCCTTTATTAAGAATTATTCCTCAAATACATTTTCAGCATATGACTTTTTTTTTGACATTTCTTATGCCAAGTTCATATCGAGTACAAGTGCCCATCATCTGCTGGGTATCCACTTTGATAGCGAGCCATCAGTACGACGAGCATGCAGAAAGTGGTACTCAGAAAACAGTTATTTCTGTAATGAGCTACAGCAAGATCAGATGCTCCTCTGCCTCCTGTGCCACTCAGGTGAAGAGCAGCTTGGAAAATAATGTTTTTCTGGTAATGACCAAGCAAACAGCAGTGACCCTCCTCCAGCTGCTCTTGTTAAATTTGTGATAACCACTTCTTGAATCAGTGTATTTTAATTAATGGCTTCGCACTCTCTTCCCGCTAGCATTACCTGTCACGATCCTGGGTCTTTTGACCCAGCGTTTTGAGTTTTAGTTTATGTTTAAGCCCTTCAGGTTTTCTAAGTTCCTTTTTTTGTTGTTATAGTTCTTTGTCATTAGATTCCCCTTGTGTCTTCCACCCCTGTTAAGTCTCCCTTGCCCTTCATGTGTTTCATGTCTGTGTCTTACGTTGTCAAGTTCAGGTTGTCATGTCTGCGTCTTATGTTTCCTGTTTTATTTTGAAGAGGTCTTGTGTTCCTGTGTTCATCGTGTTTAGTTTTGCTCTTCCACTGTGACGTCGTTATGTTCATGTGTGTCAGCTGTTCCGCCATGTGTTCCCACTTCTCTCATTAGCCTCCTGTGTGTATTTAGTCTGTGCCTTCTCATTCAGTCTTTGTCGGGTCGTCTGCGTTGTTCCCATGCCATGTCCTGCGTTCAGGTTTTCATATAGCCTCATCATCATTGCCATGTTTAGAGTTTTGTTTGTTTTTCTGTTTTCCAGGGTTTTTAATAATAATGGATTGCATTTATATAGCGCTTTTCGGGACCCCTCAAAGCGCTTTACAATACCACTATTCATTCACTCTCACATTCATACACTGGTGGAGGCAGGTACAGTTGTAGCCACAGCTGCCCTGGGGCAGACTGACAGAAGCGAGGCTGCCATATCGCGCTATCGGCCCCTCAGGCCATCACCAGTAGGCGGTAGGTGAAGTGTCTTGCCCAAGGACACAACGACCGAGACTGTCCGAGCCGGGGCTCGAACCAGCAACCTTCCGATTACAGGACGAACTGCAAACTCTAAAGCCACGATCGCCCCATAGTTTCATAGTTCATGTTTCCTTTCTAGTTTACCCAGTTTAGGCTATTGCTTAGTTTACATTGTTTTTGCCCTTTTATTTTTTACTGTTCTGTCTGCCTTAATAAACGGCTCATCGTCAGTTAAGTTTGAGTTTTAGAATATCTGCACCTGAGTCCGCTCTTCACACTCCACGCAGTTTCCCACGGCAAACTGTGACAATTGCCCTCGACTGTTTTAAAATTATCCACAGCTGAAGTAAAGGTTCGATGGGTTTTGTAACTTTAAACCGCACTTCTTTATCAGAAGCTATCGAGCCTGTGAATATACTTAATATAAACATATGAAGAAAACAGAGAAGATTTCAACTCTTCCTTTCAATCAGCACAAAGGGAATTTGCCCATTATTTCAGGACTGTGGCTTGTTATTTTTATTTGTTATTTATTTATCTATTTATGTCCACATATTTGCTATAGTATACCTTTTTCCCACTTAAAACTCAAATGAATTACTACAATCTAATAAACTATTAAACAGTCACAGGCTTTTTGATTGTCCTCTTTGGCTGGTGTGGTCAGAAACAGCTACTTCGTGAAAAGAGATTAGTTGAGCATACTAAAGGGCCCATTAATGTCGTTGCAACCAGTGAGATCACCACAGCCTCGTCACCATTCATTCCAGTGTTGATTGCATGGGTACTTGCTGAAGTATTCTACTTAATGCCACTCAAAAAAACCCTGTGCATCAGCACTGGTACTGGAGCAGTGGAAGTCAAAACAGAAAGCAAAGTTACTGCAGAATTTTCTCAAAAACTCATCTTTTCAAGCTGTTACAGCATCTTACTCTGCATAAGCTGGGAATCTCTGAGCTTCTGCATTGATATTTCTTTGAAATGGCAATGAAAAGCGACACAATCGGATTCTTGTGTGTTCAACCCAACCATGCCGGCAACGGGACCTGCACGAGGTTACACCAGAATGTGGTTTGTGCCAGGGGATGTGACGTCATTTTTGCTGCATGCTGTGTGAGTGACGGGTATAAAGGGTATAATATAGCAGAGACAGACAGCATGAGACTGGATAAAATGCATATTTTTAAAAATGAGGATCCGTAAAAATTAGCCAATATTTGGTTGCACAGCAGGTTATAAGAAACACATACGTTGTCATTGTTTATTGGTTTGAAATCATTCTTAAAGTTTCCACAATATCCCCAAGCATTTCATTTGGTTTGTGGGTATAAAATAAAAAAAGTATTGAATGGTACTGTTAGCCATATTATTCGATCTACACTCTAAGGATTTTTTTTTATAGTTGTGGAGGTATTGCAATAAAAAAAAAAGGAATTTATTGGGTTTTCAGATTCTTAGATTCCATCTGGATGCCTGTCTTCAGTATGTGGATTCTGTATGGCTTCTAAAATTGGCAGAACAGGCTTTAGGGTTAGCATTAGCAGTGTGACATGGTGTAAAAAAAGGTTGGAGTGTGGGTTTCTGTTTACCAGGCTAAAGACATAGCTAGTATTAACGACCAAATGAAAATGGAAGTCTTGAAAGACACATTTTCTAAATATAAACTTTGATACTTTTGCACCTAGATAATCAAAAAAATAATATATATCTTATGTTGGGATCTATATATTGTTTTTATATGCAGGTATGCATTCTCACCTCGCACTACAATGGTAGTGGACTTCTTAGCAGGGTTTCCCACATTGTTGCTGGCCACGCAGCTGTAGACCCCCGCCTCATCTGAGGTGATGGCCGGAAGCGTAAGTGTGCCGCCCTTCACCACACTTCTTTGTGGCAGGCTGTCATTACTGCTGACCCAGGTGAGAATGGGAGGTGGCTCACCTCCAGTAGTGATGCAAACCAAGGATACTGTCTGTCCTGGATTCACCACAATAGGATCCTCTACCAGCAGTTTGATGGACGGGGATGCTGTGGAAAAAGAGAGCATCGATGATAGACTGGAGAAAGATGGACGGCTTTGGCAGTTATGACAGTTACAGAATAACTCAGCTGAGAAAATGCATGACAGTTCATCTTTCTCTTTCTACATCTTTCTTTTTTAGGATATAATTATTTGGTTGCAATAAGCTTTCTGTGCACAAAAGTCAGTAATGATGTGGAGTACCTGTCTTATTGGTAAGTCTGAAGATAACACTGCGGTCAGGAATCCCACACACATTTCTGACAGAGGCGATGCAGCTGTAGTTAGCGTAGTCTTGGGGACGCAGATTCTTCAGCTTCAGAATCTTCGTTTCCCCCTGCAGCTCAGACGAAAAAACAACACTGGTATGCAAATGTGTGCAAAAATATGAACATAATCAAGTGAAAGGAATATAAAAAAATAGGCACTGGGAAGGAGATTACAAAGGCCAAATTGCTCCACAGAAAAGTCGATATTTATTAACACGTATGTAATTTTAATAAAGGCAGGTGAAAAAGTGCCACAGAGTTCAGACATTTGATAGTTAAATCTAAATGAAAATGATTCTGATGTTTTTCAGCAATGAGTGGATTACTCTCTAGTGAAAAGCCCTGTAGCATTTTTGGCCACAGAGCTCCAGGAATACAGATGAGCACAGTAGGGGATCTCTCCAAAGAAATGGCTCGTCCATTGACAAAGTGCGTTTGATTCCAACCAGGCCTGTCGACTATGAGCCCCACCCGAAAGGTTACAATAAGGATGTAAATCTTTGATCTGGCTGACTCCAGTGTGTGGGTGCAGGGATGCGTTGGGGAGGGAATCAAAGATGAGTCAGCCACATGCTGTGGCAGCATACACAACGCTGCAATCACTCACGACTTTCACACCCTTTCATTTCTGGTGAGGCTCATGGATAAATTAATTGCATTAGATGAGCCATGGACCCAACATTTCGCTTCCTTTATTTTTCCGTTACCACTTTTGCTTTGAAGCGGATATCAGGGGAACGATGCCTATGGTACTGAGGTATTCAAAATGCAATTGGTGCAACTGGTAGGAAAGACAATTTGGAAAATGCAAGGGGTTGAAGCCATTAAACCAAAGTGGTCCGAGGGATTGATGGCCATATTGATGGACAGATTGAACACTAAAGTACATAAACAGCTTTGGGAATGAGACTTAATAGGTGTCTATAGAAATTTGGGAGGAGTGCGGTGTCTATCAGCTAAAAAATATGGCATCTCTAGCTTTGTTTTCATGCTTTAACTGCATGTTTGTGAGGAAGAAAAACTAAAATTGAAACCACTTGGGCTTAAGATGTTTGGTGGTAAAAATGACTTGAGGGTATTTTTCATGCAAGCAGCAGGACACTGGCTCTGGGAAAATATCTGAGGGAGATGAATCAAAAAAATGGTTACCACATTCTGAGATGTGGTAACCATTTGAGACACTTTTTGCCTTTTTAGCTTTTTAATTCATTAATAAATCATCCACTAGACTGTTTGATTACCTACTTAAAAGCCTTGACACTCGGATCAAAATAATTTGCTAATTCCTCACAGGAAACACTAACATTTATACCTGCAAATCTGATACAGTAATAATGCAAACTTTCACCAAACAATGTGAATAAAAAAGGTCTTATCAGCCTCATTTCACATTCTTGTTGCTGGTCAAATTGTATCTAAGTGAAGTGAACTACATTAGGCCTGCGGTTGTAAATGTTAATAAGCAGTTAATAAATTGATTTTCTTTCTGACCTTTTCCATAAGCTAGCTGGACAAACAGTCGGTTGCAGTAGGCATCCTAATTAATTACAGCAAAAAAACAAAAAAAACAAAGGTTTTTTTCCCACATCTTGGCAACTCCAACACTGATATTACAGCCCATCACAAATTAGAAAATGATACATTACAGCTTATTGTCATTTTATAGAAGGTAACATCTGAAAAAAGAGAATATCATAGCACACAAAAACATCAAATCCATAAGTGTTAATTATTCTAATAGCCTAAAATTGAAGCAGAAATAATGGATGAAGTGGATAATTGTGCTATTTTCGACACATTGCAGGCAAAGTTTTGCGGCCAGAGGGAAAACGTTACAGACAGCAGGACGTGGTTTCTACAATAAAGCCACACCTCTGCTCGCTTAATTATGAACTGGTTCAAAATGCCACTCCTGCATTTCTACAGTATCAGTGGGAATATAAAGCATTTTGCTGGGCTGGAAAAATTGTGCCAGAGTGAAGAAAGGAAGTCGTAAAGATAAACTTAACTAAAAATCCATGGATAAAAAAGGAGAAGGAGACAAAAGGAGACGCTGCAGCTTTGATTTAGGTCAGTTACAAGTGATTCCCTGCATAGTCTGCGGAGAGTTCAGGCAAGTTCCAATATATTGTTGAAAAATAATGTTATTAGCCATTTATATGTGCAAATTACTTGGAGTTTAGTCAGGATTTATTTTGGGTTGGATTCACGTAATGCTAATCTCTGAGTTTTGGGTTGTGTTCAAATTTCAGACCCAATTAAAGCTTTAATAGAGGGCAGGATGAAGGAGCGAGGGAAGGAGCAAAGAGGTATGAAGAGCAGGATGGAAGGGAGAAGTGTCTTTTGGGGCCCGGTTGTGCAGCTTCTTCAGACTCCTTCACCCACTCTATTAGTTCCCAGCCATCTTTCTCCATTTGGCCAAACATCAATTTCACTTCTTTTTTTTAAAAAAAAAAAAAATCTTTTTTCTTTTCCTCTTGCCACTTCTTAAGCCTCTTTTCCCCTCTCAGATGTCTTTTTCTCTTTGTCATAGTTTTGTATTCTCTCAGACGCTCCATTCCACATACAACTCACATCCAATTCGATCAATTAAACAAAAAAGAAAAAGAAAACTACAATTCCCTCACAAGTGGCTGAACAATCTCAATCAGTTCTTTGTTGACTGCACAAAATCCATTTTGGAACAAAGCTTCTCAATTTTCAGACTGTAAAGAAAATCCACTTGATCATCTGAAAGAACTGATTTGTGAAGAAAAGTCTTTCCGCAGCCTTTCAGCATCTGCAAATCCTTAATATGCATGTAACTCATGAAACTGGGTTAGTGAGGCTGGTACTGCACTCTAAGGTATGCAGCAGGGTTTTATAACAAATAGCCACAACAATAATGTTATTGCCAATACATAAGCAAATCACCTAAATCAAATAGAAACACTATAATTACGTGACAACGTGCTGCGTTGATTCGATAATTAGCAACTGCCTCTTACTCATCTCGCTAAAAAAAAAAATGCAGAAAGGGTGTGCGGCTGTTGTGACAGTGTGATGTTGGGTTTGTTAACGCATTGTTAAATGAGGTCAAGATATATCATGATTTACATTTGTATGTGTATGCATCAGTTTTAAAGCTTTGCAGTACCTTTAAAAATATGCCACAATATGCAATAATACAGTGCATTACCGATATTAATAATGGCACTGCTAAGAAAGATGGTTTACTTTAGGTGCAGGGCTTATTTTTTTTTTTTTTTTCGAAAGGCCATTTATATTCGTAATAAAGGCCATTGCGTAATTCATGGAGTGCAATGAAGCTTCACATCTGATGGCAAAAATAATAGTTTGCTCTTTCTGTTTATTGCAACTGAAACCAAAACGCGGTCCCATGGTGAGAGAGTAATATACTGTGGGAATTTCTGGAGAATTCCAAGCCTTTTTTTTTGTTTGTTGGTGTTTTCCAAAACTGCTTGATTTACAATGAAAATGTTTGTTGGAATTTCTTTCGCCTTCCCATGGTTAAACAAACAGCACACACACACATGAAGGTGCCACAGCTGCGACTTAATTCTGGTCATGAGTGGATCGCTAAATAAATATGAGAGCACGCTGTGAGACAGAGTTTCAGCTAATTTAGCACCTGATAAACAGAGCTTGTGCTTTGCCTTCAGACGGTTATTAAATGGTTTCAGATCCTCTGTACGGTATCAGCCTATTTGTTCTTTCTTTGTAGTCTCTGGGGGAGGGCACAAGGTGCATGTCTTAATGACAGGTTGGGCAAAACAGAATTCAAAGACTTTTACCAAAGGTTCACATTCAAATGCTAACAACATTAGACAACAGTCAGTAAAAAAAGACGGCTGTAGAGTCATGGTTGGAAACTTGAACCCATCTTGATGCGTTATGATGATGGTGGCAATGTCAGACAAATCTACAGACTGGTCTGTGAGCATCTGGGAACCTGAGCAGTTTTAAGTGGTTGCTGGAGGTTGCGTCAGTTGCGTCAGTTGCTGGGAAAAATGCAAAAAATGCAAAATCCTCAGTCATAAAGGCTGACAGACCCGTGACAACCACCTGTCACTACGGAAAAACATATGTTCTCCAGCTGGTTAAGAAAAAAGCCTCCTTGCGTTCGCTTTGGTCACGAGGATATTGCTGTGATCATGTTTTTAATGGAAGTGGTGGACTTGTCGAGCATTGGTCAAGCAATAAAGTCGTTCTTCGTACAGCAAGTTCTGCTGTCTCTTTAAAAATGCAACACCAGAAATGTTGTCTTCAAGGTAAAAGTATCACCTTTTGTAAGAAGGAATCAGCATTAAATCATAACTTTGACTGAGAATGTAAACCCCGTCCATTTCAAGTTCATGTCGCACTTTATCAAGTTGTACTATCAATCAGCTAGTAATTAGCAAATATTTGCAGAAAAGCATGAAAATCAACAGACAACCTGCTAGCAACCAAAGCAGTCATGAGTGACAGCCAGCCCCATAGGAGCCACGGCTAATTAATCAGAAAGCACGTTTCCCTAGTAACCAATGGTTGTATCACGTCCAATATGGCGGATAACCCGCGAGCCATGTCCACATGGTGTCACATAGGAAGGCGCCGTGGAAGTCTTTCTTGACATTTGCAAACACTTTGTTGATGAATTTGTTGTCTTGGCTATTACATTTGTTTCGTAATTCTTGGTCATACCATGTCCTTCTTTTAGACCTTTAAAATAGATCAACTTTCTCTACATGTGCCATTCATTTTAATTTGAGATATTCATTCAAATCACGTTCCTGTCGACTTACCTGTGTGAAAAATGGCTCATAGATCTCCACACCCTTGTCTGAGCCTTGCGTCAGGACCTCTCTCCCACGATGCCAGCTGTAGCGGACAGGTGGGTTGGAGTTAGCCACACAGCGCAGGAATACAGTTCTCTCATAGTAGAACTGTTCCTTAGCTTCTCCTATACTCTGGTGCACTGTCACCACCGGGTCATCAAGGTCTGTGAAAGGATCCCACACACACACAGAGGAGGAAGGCATTAATAAACACTTTCCCATTTTTCACTAAACAACAAATCTATAGATCAATATGTTACCATATTTCCAAAAAATGAATAAATAAATAAATATTATATATATATATATATATATATATATATATATATATATATATATATATATATATATATATTATATATATATATATATGTACACAATAATGGATTGCATTTGTGCTTTTCTAGACACTCAACACGCTTTACAATTCTACTATTCATTCACTCTCACATTCACACACTATATTTTCCAGGATGCTGTAGCAATAACAAATCTGTACCGTAACAGCAATCACAACTATAATCGCTCACAATACGCACTTCTTGATTGTGGTTAGAGGTCTGAGTGAAGGGGTCAGAATTCTCATTGCATTAGGGGGAGCCAGCAATCTGCATGGACTCGGGGGTCAACGTGAGAAAGGAGGTGAGAAGCCCACTACCTGAACTGTTTAAGTCAATAGGATGCCGCCCAAGGGCACATTGACTTCCCAGTCAAATCGAGCTGCTGTGTGCTCCAAGTCGCACTCCATTGTGAGCTTCAAAGACGAGAGAGGATGACAAATACTGTGCACAAAATGATGTTTGATGTCCATCACTTCAAAGAACACTGTTTGGCTGGCCTCTGATCTCATTCAGGCACTCTGTGATTTGACACATCTGTTACTCTACCCATTCCCTGACAGATCTGAAGGAAGTTTTACCCCAATACCAGACAGTTGGTTATTTGAGAAAGTGCCTGTCGTTGATTAAATGGATTCAAAGTTAATCATCTTACCCGGCTATCGCATTAAGCCTTGGCAAATGGTGTTCATCATAGCTGTGGTGTCTTTTAGCATGCTAATACTCGCCTTTTAGATTATGTCCATTTGCACGCTTAAAGAACGTGGGGAGCTAGCTGTTTCCCTTTCATCTCCATCCGAGATGCAATCAGTTTTTTCATGAGCAAAAAAAAAAAGAAAAGAAAAAAAATGAGGCAATTTAAGGAAAGGATGAGAGACACCCACGCAAGTTATTCTTCATCCTTAAAATTCTAACTGATAACGAGTGACCTATGAGGGGGGATATGATTGAGGGTGTTGATGGGGGAGTTAGTGTATCAGCCAATGTGCAACAAGGTGGATGACTGAGCTGGTGTTTTAATGTGTGAGCAAAAAAGCAAGCAAACTGCTCACGGTAAATACCCAAATATTTAATGATTATAAGCCTCTAGAGAAAAACTACACATGCTTTAGGTATCGTTAATGGATAAATTCATTCCTTTTAATTCTGCAGCTTTGGCCCACCCCTGGATTTGCAAAGGATCAGGTCCTAATCAAAGGGCTGTGGGCCACAGCATCCCTCCTGGACACACCAACCAGAGAATGCTGATTCCTCGGTTTCATTAAAGACATGTTCTGCCCTACAGCCCCTTAATCAAAATCTAGCAGCGGTCAATACTTCATCCAGGATCCATTACAGTGTCTCAGGTAAGAGCAATTACCTTTGGAGGGGTGGGGAGGAAAAAAAAGCAGGAGAGGGGGGTGATAACGCTCTAGAGAAGACAGAGCAATTGCAGGGCCATTTTAGAGGAGCAGATTGCTCTAAGTAAATACACTGATTCATTATAGAGAGGAGAAGAAGAGTATGAATCCTACATCTTATCTCTGACTCTACCCAGCGTCTGCCTCATCCGTTTCCTGCTACAAACAGTCAGTTTACCAACTGCGGCAGGAATGGAGTGATTCATTGACAGCCCTATCTACCTTGGGATACATGTGTCATTGAACATTGGACCTGATAGGAGGATGCCTTTTTTTTTTACTTGGTGACAACGAAAGTGCCTGTATATGTGTATATTAGGTAAGGAGCAGTTTGAGCTATAAATAGGGCTGAAATGATATGCAGAGAAGGAGTGGATGCTAGGAGCGCAAAGAGATAAATATGGAAATATGGAAATGCACGCAGTGGATTAAAATTTGATGAATTTCAAACAAAATTCCACCTCCACCATCATTTTTTTTTCTCCCCCCGTAAGGATTGTGCATGTGTGTGTGTGTGTGTGTGTGCATGTCACTCTTGTGCAATTAGCTTCTGAAGTCACGCTTGACTGATTGTGAAGCTTAAATCCCAGAGCCCACAGGAAAACTGCGGTGTACAAGCAGTCTGCGCCAGAGTTGTTAGGGTTTGTAATTGCAGGTTTATGGGTTCACAGGCCGGTAAATCTGCCCATGTACAGCTAAACGCTCTAGCGCACTAACCGTAGCATCACTCCCGCTCACCTCTATCAGCCATGACAAGTCTCCAAACTCTGGGTTTCTCTGTAATGGGAGGCGGGGGAGGCAGCATGATGCACAAAAGTGCAAACGTTAGATGCAATGTGCATGCGAGGCAGTGGAAGTCTCACAAGACGAGCATAAAAGGGTACAACGCTCGGTTCATCTTTTTTTTTTTTTAATCTTCTACACTGAAAAAAACCTCAAATAAAACCCGACATGATGATGATATTCCCATTTGACTAGCAGAAATCAGATTTGTACTTTACAGGCCTACCAAAACATTTGTTGGACAAATAGGCACAAGTGAGTGGTTTGGATAAAAGAGAAATTGAAGACTAAAGAAGGCACTTCATTATCACATCAAACCATGGCTGCTTCCCTTTCATG